AGGGTTAATGACCACAGTCTTAAGGGCTATCTAGGTCAACTGGCAAAAGAGAGTTCACAAAGTGGACAAAGACAAGGTTCTACAGCCTAATGTGCTAACTAATGATTTATTGTGGGTCTTACAGCCTTCCTAAGGCCAGCTAAGCATAACTACTGGTTTCTCTCCATCTAGAGCAAAGGAAGAATGAAGAAGATCAAAGGTTCAAGAAAATAATCCAAAGGGCTAATAAGCCACATGAACGATGACCTCTACTAAAACCTGAGATAAGAACCAGATGGCACCTAGTTACCATGACCAACCAATCACTTTCATTGGGATCATATGTGAAGGTCCTAGGCCAAATGGGAGAGAAAAGTAAAACAAAATTCAAAACCATAAAATGGCTAGAATTGAGTCTGAGACTGGTGGAACTGCTCAGCCTATGGCTCTCAGACACTCTTCAAATAGGAAAATTAAACACACCCCAATACAGCTTTCAACCAAACAGACAAGTCTAAAAACTGAGCAGCACCTGTAAGAAACATACTCTACAATCAATCAGGAAGGGGCAGGAAAGAAGGAAACACGGAAATGGGAAGCCCAGCAAGAAACAGGGAAAAGGCAGATTACAACCAACATCACAAAACAAAATGTAAAGTGCTGAATGGGAAGCTAATGTACTTTGTAAACCTTTAATCAAAGCATGATAAAATGTTCAAAGCAAAATGCAGTCACAGGTTTAAGCAAAAAGATGGTTGTTTCAGTTTTATAGCCACAAACATGGCATGTTTAAAAAACACCAAAAATAGCATAACAGAATTCCATGGCAGTCATTAATGTGTCAACAGAGAACAAGGATTTCTTCTGAGTCAATAAATTTTCAAACAAAAAACAGAATATAAAACTGAGTCTCACTTACACCAAAATAAGCACAGACGAAGATTATAGAAAGAATTTTGCTTAAATTTTAATAACTAAAAAACGAAGATTTTTAATAATACCCATAGATCAGTATTTTTAACCTCATCAATCTCATCATTCCCTTTCCAATATATGTCATCTAAAGCATGTATTAACCCATGAAGATTTTTATTTTAAATCTTAATCTTTTTAAAATCACCTTACTTCTCTTCCTAAAGGAGTTTTTATACTTCCTACCTCCACTTATTTAAGACAACTACTTCATGGTGATGTCTGAACTTGATTAATGATCATCTTCTCTATCCAGATTCACTGATGTTTTCCTTTGGAATATCATCTTTCACATTCATTTCTGCCCATGATGACTCCAGACTTCCTGGAGCTCACCTCCCTTCTGAAATCCTTTCATGGTTTTAATTTTCACTTTATACAATTTTCCACTAGCTTTCTTCAGAGTTCTCACAAATGCCCTCAGAGTGTGTGTGTGTGTGTGTGTGTGTGTGTGTGTGCTTCCTCCTCCTATATCTTCAACCTCAGACACATTCATTCATAGAACTTTTCTACTACCATTGTTCACCCTCACAGATTCCAAATATGATTCATTATTATCATCACTCTAAACCAGAAGTTTTAGCACCCTATTCTCAGCTTAGGGCCATCTTATCAATGATCATACCAAATGAAAATTATCTCTAATTCAAGACTTTTAATTGTACTATTTCTAGACAACTTTGCTTACCACTATTGCCAACATACCAACTTTCCTGTCTCAAAAGAGCAGCAAAGAATGCACCCAAACACACTATGCCCAAGGTTGCTTTGGACTCCTCCCACCACAGAGTTTTGATAGCCCAGAATAGCTTCTTGTCAGCCATCAAAATTCGATATTTCCAAAGTCCAGTCTCCTATCCTTTTCTATTTCCATAAATATTGGTGCCCTTTATTTATAATCCTAGAGAGAAGGGAAATTAAAAAGTGCATTAACGCTTCTGATCACTAACTATGCATCTGAGAACTGGACGATGAGTAAGGGTGACAAGAAAAATTGATACCTTGGAGCTATGGTGTTGGAGAAGAGCAATGAACGTACCATGGAGGGTCAAAAGAACAAACAAGTATGTCTTGGAGAGGGTGTAGCCGGAGTGCTCTTGGAGGCAAGAATGATGAAGCTTTGCCTCACTTACTTTGGGCATGTGCTAAGAGAGGCTATGCCTAGGAGAAAGGACATGATGCTGGGAAGGGTGGAGGGTCAATGAAGAAGAGGAAAACTCTTGACCAAGTGTATTGACATGGTGACTGTCACAATGGGCTCTAGTGTGTCAGGAAGTGTGAGGATGGCACAGGAGAGAACAGAGTTCAGATCTATTGTTCACAGGATCTCTATGAGTCATTGTTCACAGGATCTCTATGAGTCATATTTGATTCAACTCCACCTAACAACAACAACAACAATAATATCTCTTTGAAGAAAAACACAATGTCTACTTTTTAACACCGGACCCATGAAGAGTTTATGGCACCTAAGTTACATTCTGTGTAAAGGTTAAAAATGCAAATTCTCCCACACTAATGTCATTTAAATGAGATCATTCTTCTACGGCCAGACTCTCAAATCAAACCAAAAACCACACTTGAGACATTCAGAAGTCAAGAGACTTTTTGAAAAGTGTATTTTTAAAAGCAAACTTACAGTGATTTGCAAACAAAACACACTCACTCTCACTCGCTCGTTCTCATACACTACGTTTTATAAAATTAATCACCGTTGACCTATGCTCACGACCACCCTGTCATTTCAGTCTCCACAAGATCTATCCTAATTTCTTCACCTGTTCCCTCCTCTCTCATTAAACTCTGTAAACTCATGATTTCTTCCCCTCCCCACTCTAAGCCTCCTTGCCCTCTTCCATTCCCCCTCTGCACTTTTATCCACATCTCACAAGCTGTTGTTGTGTGCTATCAAATCGCCCTATGTACAACAGCCCTAAATCCTGCTCTATCCCATGCCAATCTTTTTTGTCTCTGACATGCCTATCCTCATTACCCGTCACTGAATCAATCCACCTCATCAAGGGTCTTCCTCTTCTGCACTGTCCCTCCAACCTCCCAAGCATGACGTCCCTCTTCAGGCACTGATCCCACCTTGCAATATGTCCAAAGTATGTAAGACAGAGCTTCAAAACCCTTGCCTCCAAGGAGCAGCCTGGCTTCATCCTCTCCAGGATGAACTTTGTTCTCCTAGTAGTCCATGGTATATTCAGTCCTCTTCTCCAGTAGCACCACAGCTCAAAGGCATCAATTCTTCTTCTCTCATCCCTAGTCATTGTCCAGTTTTCTGATGCATAGCAAGTAACTGTAAAGACCATGGCCTGTATCAGGTACACCTTAAGTCTCCAGACTGGCATTTTTGCTCTTCAGTACCTTGGAGAAGTCTCTGACAGCTGACTTTCCCAATGCAATTCATCTTTTAATTTCCTGGCTGCTGGTACCAAGAAGGTTGATTGTAAAGCCAAGCAAACTGAAGCTGTTAACAATCTCAATCTCTTCATCATCCATCATGATGCTGTCAATTGGCCCAGTAGTGAGAAGTTGTCCTTTTTTTTTTTTTCTATATTTTATTAATTTTCATAAACATTTACAGAGATTTTGGGTTTCCACTCATTCATTGTTGCACTATTCTCTCTACCCTCCTCCCAGTTTGTTCTTGTCCAAATGCCACAGTGCTTGTCAAAGCCAGTTCTCATTAATCTTCTTTGTCAGTGTGTCCTTTGCCATTCCCTATCACTCCTCCCTGAGAGAGACTTCACCCTGAGTCATAAGGAAAAGGGGATGGCATATTCTCTTAGCTACTTCCTGCTGAAAAGGGACGCTGTGGGTTTCAGGGTGAAGATCTTCTCTCACTACTCTAAAGGGCCCCTTTGGCAGTAGGAAACACATAGACTATTATGGAGATTGATTTTGGAATTCAGATGCACTCTTATTGATTGTGCTTGGCCGTACATGTTCATATCCTTGAAGATGTATCATGGGGGTGTTGCAACCTAGGAGACACAAATTTGACTAACAAGTTATAAGTACATGAGTCCAGAAATTATGGAAAAGTAAAAGAAAAGATTCTTTCATTGTTTTACAAACCCTCCCCCAGGTCCCCTCCATCATGTGGCCCTCGCTCTAGTCTCCTGTGATGACAGAAATACCTAGTTATATATCTCTTTTAGAGATATATAACTTTTAGAAGTTGTCCTTCTAATTTTCTTAGTGCTTAGTTTCCTTTTATTTTTACAATAATGCAGTATTTGTCCTTGCAAGACTTAGTTCACATGGCAATATTTGTCCTGCCTGGTAAGATGTAATTCACTTGGCATAATGCTCTCTAGCCTGTCCCTGAAAAGCATATCTAGAAAATAGGATAGCAATCAAAATTAACACTAAGATCTAAAACAATAAAAAAGTAATGAAGATTAGGGAACTCAGATACTTTTTATTTGGTAAATGTTGAGACGTTCTAAAGTATGATTTTCACCCCTTTTCACTGTGATTTTAATGTTTAATGAAAGTTTACAGAAAAGTTGGATTTTCATTCATTCATTGTTGCATATTCCCCTCCCTACCTGCCCTCAGTTCACTTAAAAAAATTCTTTCTTTTTTGCTTATTTCCCCCCCCCCGCCCCATCCACTTTGCTATACAACTCTGGAATGCTGTCATACAGATAATACCTAATCTTATATTCCTTTTAAACAGTTCTTTCCTTCATCTGTTTCAATGCAGTGCTCATTATTTATCCCCTTTTCTCGTTTTCCTCAACAACCATTTCAGTCTCATAACATGTTTTATAACAGTGGTGTTATGCAGTATTTGTCCTTTTGTTACTGAGGTATTTCACTCAGCATAAAGTCCTCCAGGGTCACCCCATGTTGTGTAATATTTTATTAGTTCCTTGTTTTTCAGTGCTGCATAATAGTTCACTGTTCTTTTGTATCCATTCATTTGTTGATGGGCACTTAGGCTGCTTCCATCTCGTTGCTATTGTGAATAACGCAGCAATACATATGAGTGTGCATACATCTGTCTGTGCTGCAGCTCTGGTTTCTTTAGGGTGTACTATTAGTGGAATTGGTGGATCAAATGGTATTTCTATTTCCAACTTTCTGAGAAAGCACCAGACCACCTTCCATAGTGGTTATACCATTTTACATTCACACCAGCAGTAAATAAGAGTTTCAATCTCTCCACAACTCGCCAGCATTTGTTGTTTGCTATAGTATGAATTTAAATGTAAAGTTTAAAATCTGAAACTACATTAATAATTTTAGCTTAGGGCAATAACTCTCCTAAGTTCTGGATTTAAAAAAATCTGCTCTCCTAAATATTTAGGTAAGTTTTTTTTAAGATCACATGGCTTCATTACTCTGAGAACCTATTATTTATTTCCCCTTACAAGTAATTGCACCCATGTAAATCCTGTGCCCATACATATTATCAATTAGTATATATGTGGGAGAAGGATGGGCAATCTCCTTCCAGGCTATTACTGCCTCTGAAAAGCTGCTAGAGGATCAGTTATGGGTCGGTTACGACTCTACGGTACACCACACACACACACACACACACACACACACAGAGAATAAAACAAATCTGCCATAAGGCATGTATTATTGTGTAAAAATACAGTAGTCCCAGAAATGTTTTAAAATTCTCTTTTTTATTCAAAGAATTGCTTCTTCTTTCTAAAAATAACTAAATACAGGCTAAATATTCATTAATGTTTATATAATTTTAAAGTTAAAAAGAATTGAGCTCTGGTGGCCTAGTGGCAAGAAGCTGTGCTGTTATCCTGAAGGCATGTGGTCTGAGGCCACCAGCTGCTCCAAGGGAGAAGGATGGGCAATCTCCTCCCATTCGATTAACTGACTAAAAACAAGCCAGGGGTTCAGCTATTGGTCAATTCCAACTCGACGTACACAACAATAACAACAACAAAAAAGAAGAACTCACACTTTCCAGGTAATGAAAACCAAAGCCTTCATAAGTGATATGCTAAAAAACATACATCATTCATTAGACTTAAAGTCAGATTTTATAAATTATACTCAATTCCAAATACAATGTGCTTTTCATTTTTCTGCATTAACATGGCTTTACCAAAAATGATTAAGGATTTGTCAAAATATTAGAAAATGAAGTATTTATAAAATGTCATTCTTATGTACAATACCTACTTCGCCCATATCTTCCTCCTCTTCTTCATCTGAAGTCACTTCTTCTGTGGTCCTATTCTGAAAAAGAGAAAGAATTGGCCAGAAAAATAAGCACCTTGAGTTAATCAAAAGACTGCCTGGTGCTAATGCTTTAGATAAAGATTTAATTATCTGTCAATAGAGTTTCACTAACAGAGAACTTATAAAAGTTAATGCATTTATTTAAGCACAGCTTTGATTTGACAAACACAAAAATTTTTTTTAAAAATTTAATGTTTTAGGAATAAATATATTCTGAGTTAAAACAACTCAAATATAAAGCAAAACTGAAACATCAATAATCTAACAAAACGTTTTAATGCAGATGGAGAGATATATACACATACACACACACACAAATATATATATAATGCCTTCTTTGATTTAAAATCAATACTAAAACCACTGATCTTTAAAATATCTTTTAAAATCTGAAGAGCCCAAATCCTTCCATAAATTTAACTGTCTTACTTTTTTGAAGGTCAAATGAACTATAAAAATAGACATTTGTAAAGCTCATCACACACAAAATTAAGTATTATACAATGGGGTCAATAATTCACTAAAAAGGCAAAATTTTTTTAAAACAGCATATATTTACTATGAAACATTTTTCTAGAAGACATAATTCACCATTCATTCACAAATGAGTCTAATGGGATTTTAGGAAGAGCTTCTTATCTACTTTTGGCAGAGTTCAAAGAAAAGTATCCTGGGCCAAAGTGTTATTTCTCAGAAGGCAGCATTTAAGTTCAACCTCTAAGTATTAAGCTGGACCTATGTTAGGACTAGAACGCCTTAAAAAAAAAAAGGCAAGAAACTAAAAATCTAGATAGCAAATCTGATCAAGAAAACTGTCAGTAGTATCTGAGATCCTGTGCGAGCATAATGCATAGGCAAAGAAAGCCATTACCTCAGAGGGTTTAACTGTTCTAGATTAATGAGATGGAGAATTCTGCAGGATAGGGGGAGATACAAGCTCATTGTAGAATATACTTATCTAAGTTTTAAATCTGTATCTCTTTGTTATTTGTCTCCTAGAAAAGAAATAAGAAAATTCCTAAAATACTGTAATTCATTTGTTCATGTCCCCAAATTGTACATCCCAGAAAAAACAGCCTAAGTTTTTTTTACTCCAACATGAACTTGGCTGCATCCAAGACTGAGATAGCATTTTATAAATGCTAATTTCAGAGCCCACACCAGAGAATCTGTTTTTTAAATGCTCTTCTGGATAGATAACTAGTAAAATGTTTATGAGGATAAAACATTATAGGGGGAGGGGGAAACATAGGGGTGAGGATGAGTGGGGGCATAATCATAGCGTCACAGAATTTGATAGGTAGAGGGAGGAGTGGGATAAGGAAATGAAAAGATCTAGTGTGAAAAACAATGTATAAGGAATTTGTAACAAGTATAAAAGTTTTTATATAAAAAAATAAAATTTTTAAAAGCTCTTCTGGGTGATTCTGACATGCACAAAGCCATGCCTATGACTAAATGTAGAAGTTGAGGTCCAAAAGCCAGTTAAAAGTCAGAGTTGAAAAATCCTAAGATGAATTTTGATAAAAACATGGCCTCATTTCCAAAACATCATAGAAATAATGACCTAAGAATTTTATAAGAATAAGATTACACAGTGCTCGAAGAAACACCACAAATAAGAAGCATGTATCATCATGAATCAATAACTGTAAAGACATTTTAAAAGACAAAACAGCTAGAATCGGGCTGCTGATCTTGAAAAATCACAACCCAATTAAGTTAGTGTAATAGACCACTGAATAAATAAATTAGTAGAAAGGTTTTTTCAGTAAAATTACAAGCTCAAAAATAATGGGTCAGAACTCAAACAGACCAGAAGGCTTCCAGAAAGACTGTGAGAACAATGTCCCACAATCTTGCAGATGTATATCCCCACTACAGTTGGTGATGATCACTCTCCTCATGTCTTGATGGGCACTTACTAATATAAGTGTTAGAACCTGAGAGACATTTTTTTCCTTAAGGTAGCTCAATTCAACAGCAAAACCTGATAGTACTTTCTCTTCTGAATGCTAACCTGCCATCATATCCCTAGGCACATGCCACAGGCAGACCATAAGGCTGGTCACAGCAGCAAAGAATGACAATCACAATTTCTGTGAATACCCATATCAAAGAACTGATACCAAGTACTACCAGCTACGTCAAGAAAACTACTAATAAAAAGATATCAAGAGGAACAGGCAGAACAAATGGTGTGATACAAAATTAAAGAGGAAAAAAAGAGTGATCTAATTGGAATCTACAGTCATCATTAAGAGACAGCATCAACAAAAGAAACAAAGTTGAGGAAAAACACACGCACACACCAGTGCAAAAGACAAGAAAGTTTTTGGAAGTAAGTAAGATTGCCTCTCCACTTATCCTCCTTAAAAAAAAAAAAAAAAAAGCAACAACGAAAGCTCTTCTTAGAAGAGCCACAAAGTACAATGTGAAATAATGCATTCATAATTTAAAAAAAACCAAACTGTGTTATCCTCTTGGGACAGAGAAAAATCAGAGATGTAAATGGAAAAAACAGTTAAGGTACCTAGTAGGAACATAAAGAGGATGGACAAGGAGAGACAAATGACTACTGATTAAGTAGCTCTGAGTGACCTCTTAAGAATACTGAAAAGTAAAACCACATACTTCACAGTAAGAGAAGATCATACCAGTATATTGGTGAGAAAGGGATAATATAGAAAAATAAAAATGAATCAGACAGGCATCAGACTTTTAAATTTATTTAATACCAGAAGGAAAGAAAGCAGAAGAATTTGAGACTAATTATAAACTTAGAATTCTAGACATAGTTCCAGCAGGACAGGAGCTAGATCTATCTCTGTGCTCACCACTGGACCTTCAGCACTTAGATATTCTACACAAAACACATTCACACTTGTTTAATGAATGATAAAACCAACAGAAATTTTCAAGGAATGCTCTCCATTTTCTCCACAAAACCTTTCTTGAAAAACGGTAACAGAGGACATAATTCAGGTATATACTTCAAAGGGAAGAGAAAAAGAACCCATAAAAAGGGGAAGCACAGACTACAGCAAATTGCATTAAACAAAAACAATAGAAACACGTAAGTCTAAGTAACTACTGATAATGCTCTTGTGAGGTCATAAGTCACATTCTTTGATCACATTTAAAAACTAAAAATAACCCAGATGCAACCTGAAAAATGTTTTTCTAAAAAAAAAACCAAACAGAAAAAACAAACATCTAATTCCTACGTACATGTCCCAGGTGTACTGTGTTCTTGCACAGGTAGATCATGGACTGATAGGAACATATCCATACCTGTTCCCATTCCCAACAAAGGTGATCCAACAGAATGTGGAAATTATGTGACCTAGTGGTAAGAAACTATACTGCAATGCACCAGCTGCTCCACGGGAGAAGGATAGACAATCTCCTCCCGTGTGATTTACTACCTCTGTAAATCTGCTGGAGGGCTAACAATGGGTCATCTCTGACTCAATGGCACACAATAACAATATCATTAATATCAGATGCAAGCAAAATATCGCTAAAGATCATCCCCAAATGGCTAAAACAGTACATTGATAGAACTGCCAGAAGGTTGAGCTGTATTTAGAAGAGGCTGTGTGCACACCCATGTTTACTGCAGCATTTTTCACAATAGCAAAGAGATGGAAACAACCCAAGTGTCCATCAACAAGTGAATGGATAGAGAAGCTGTGGTACATTCGCACAATGGAACACTATTCAGCACTAGAAAAACAAGGAACTCATAAAAATGAGTGACCCTGGAGGACATTATACTGAGTGAAATATCTCAGTCACAAAAATACACTGCATAAATGTCACTGTTGTAAAACAGGAACTGAGACTGGGAGTTGGGAGAAAACTAAGAAAAGAGGGAGTAAATAATGAACATTGTATTGGAACAGATGAGGGAAAGAACTGTTTAAAAGGAATATGTGATTGGGCATTATTTGTATGACCACAGTCCAGAATAAGAGGTATAAAGCAAAGTGCACTGGGGGATAGGGTAGGAGGAAACTGTACAACAATGAATGATTTTTTAAAAGAGAAAAGCGAACTGGGGTGGGAGCAGGAAGGAAAATGTGCAACAATGAATGAATGGAAATCCAAGTTTTCGGTAAACTTTCGTTACATTTACAATAAAAAAAATTAAAAAAGAAGAAGAAAAAGAAGTTGTGGCATTAAGCACATCATGCTGATGTTAGATGAATTCTGGCTCAAAGTAGAGAATAATAGCAAATGTCTATTTGTGTTTTATTCACTATGCAAAGGCATTTTACTGTGTGGATCACAACAAACTATGGCTAACACTGAGAAGACAGGGAATCCCAGAACACTTAATTGTGTTCATATGAAATCTGTTCCTAGATCAAGAAGTTGTTGTCTGCATGGAACAAGGGACCACTGTATGGTGTAAAATCTGGAAAGGAGAAAGGATTGGAACCTCAATCCTACTGAATCTGTATGCTGAGCAAATAATCAGTGAAGGGGACGCTATGAAGAAGAATGTGACATCAGGATAGAAAGACTCATCAACAACAACCTGTTACACAGATGACACAGCCTTGCTTGCTCAAAGTGGGGAGGGCCTGAAGTGCTTGCTGCAGAAAAATAAAAAAGCCTTTAATATGGATTACATCCCAACACCAAGAAAACAAAAATCCTTACCAGTGGGCCAATAACAACATCATGATAAATGAAGAAAGGATTGAAACTGTCAATGATTTCATCTTATTGGGATCCACAAAGGACATCCCTGGTAGCATCAATCCGAAGAAAACCTTTCCACTGGTAAGGAGCCATGCTGCAATCCCAAAGGTACTCGATTCAAATCCATCAGCTAGAAGAAAGATGAGTCATCTCCTCCCATACAATTAAACTGTCTCTGAAAGACAGAGTTATGGTTAAGTAGGACTCAATGGTCCACAACAACATTACTTTGGGCAAGTCCACTGTCAGGGACCTGTCCAAAATACTAAAGAGCAGCGATGTCA